AAAAAAAAAAAAAAAAAAATAGTGTTCCTTTTGGTTTAGGGCTTATTCAATCTTTTCTCTTTGGATTTCTATTTTTGTGATTAGTGTTAACATTTTAATCTATTTTTCTCTCCTAAATATCTTTTCCAGATTTCCCTATGTAGAGCACAGCAGTTGGTAAATGACACTGAATGTATGTGTGCAACCTTCCTTGCAGATCAAAAGGTTGCACTCTATATTATCAGTAACTTGATTTTTAAATATGATTTTTTAAAATATAGTTAAGTATACCAGGTTAAAATATAATATGCACAATATATTGTATGGTTGTGTACGCTGCTTTTAAGTTTTTTGAGTTATTTCAAGTAAGGATACTCCTGACCCTCAGGAGGACTCCCTAGGCGTCATCTTAGATGGCTGTGTGCTTCCTTTCTTGGGCTCTTGCAGGGTTTGGGGGTGAGTGAGGCTTTTCTTTAGGAAACATCTCAGTGGAGCCCAGCTCTGCTGTAACTGTCTGTGACATGTGTTCTTACCCACCTTGAGCTTCCATTTCCTCTTCTGTAGAAGGAAAGCCCTGGTGACTAAGAGGCTTCCTAGTGATGCTTATCAGTTGCCCAGGCTACGCCCCCTCCGCAAGCACTCAGTGCCCTCCAGCCTCACCCCGCCAGCCCTCCCCGCTCCCTGAGGTCTCAGCTGCCTCCATGCCAGGTGTTCCCCCAGCTCCTCCTGGTCTCACCTATCGGAGCAGCTGTCATTTCCCCTCTTCTCCCCCAGCTGGACCACCTGCCCTCTGGAAGCCACACCAGCCCTGTCGCAGGTAGACCTCCAGTGCCTGGCATGGCCGCTGGCACACAAGTTACTGACGAACCCCCTGCTAGAAGAAGGGAGGTCAAACCACAAATGGGAATTCCTGTTTAGTTTGGTGATTGTTAATATCATCTTATTAGTTTGAAAGCTTTTGGATGTGGTGGTTTTTGTCCAAGTAGTTTAAACTGCCTCTGTCAAAGTTCATGCGTGAATTATGTAGAATGGGTTTCACTGATAACCCATCCTAACTCTGACAGGCTGGTCAGTTACCAGAAGAGATGAAAAGGTAACATTGTTATTCTAGTCAGAACCCCATCAGAATTCACCAGCAGGAGACCAGCACCACCCAGAAGCCTGGGTTGCCCCTGGGTGCCACACTGAACTCCACGGTGAGTAGCTGCTTTGGGGTTTCTCCTGGTGTGAAGTTTTCCTCCTAGCTCCCATGACTACAGACACTTTGCACACCCATGAGAGAGTCTTTGGGAGACCAAGGGAGAGCGCAGTGTGCAGGGTCAGCCTTGGGCGCTGTGGCCAGGGGCCCTCCTCAGATAAGCAGCAGGCATCTCTGAGTCTGTTTCCAGCTGGCAAGGGGGGAGCACTATCGGATGGTTGTGAGGAGCGTTTGAGGCGATGCTGACACAAGGCTAGGATGGGCCTTCAGGGAATTGTGCTGGCCACGGACCACAGGTGTGTGCAGCTGCCCCCATCCACGGCCTGTGCTCAAAGACTTTCAGACTCAGAGGTCGAGGCCTGGCTTCTGCCTGCAGCTTCACTCCCGGTTCTAGGCTCCACGCCAGGTTCCAGGCTCCAGGCCTTGGGTTCCCAGTCCCAGGTTCTAGGCTAAGGGTTCTGGTTCCAGGTTCCAGGCTCCAGGCCTCGGGTTCCAAGTTCTAGGTTAAGGGTTCCCAGTTCCAGGTTCCAGGCTGTAGGATAAGGCCTCTCAGTTTTAGGTTCCAGGCTCTGGGCTAAAGGCTAAGGGTTCCCAGTTCCAGGTTCCAGACTCCAGGCTTCAGGTTCTAAGTTCCTTGTTTCAGGATCTAGGCTAAGGGTTTCAGGTTCCAGGTTCCAGGCTCCAGGTTCTGACCTCAAGGTTTTCGGTTCCAGGCTCCAGGTTGCAAGGTCTGCACTCCTATGCCAGCTCCAGGCTATCCAGAGAGGTGAGGAAGGGTCACAGGGGCAAGTGCGCCTGCATGTCACCACCTCCTCTACAAGGTGGGATAAATCCACCTGCTAGTCCCATAGAGTTCACATAAGGTCCCAATGAGAAAACATTGGAGATGATGCACATAAAGCTTAAAAGGCTCTGCAGCTGTGATACGGTGGTGATATTATTGTCAGAAAAGTTTAAAATAAATTCTTACACTCAGATGTTTCACGCTCGTCTGTAGCTGCTTCTGAACATGGAGTAGTGTGCTCACGGGCTGGGGGGCCACTGCGCACTCACTACAGCTCTTTTGGCACTGCCGTTGCTTTCTTCTCCAATTAGAGGAGATCTACACCACTCAGAATTTGCTAGAAATGCGGGATCTTGGGCCCCACCTGTGCCACTGACCTTGGACCTCAGGAGGTGGTGCCCAGCCATCTGGGCTTCTGACACACCCCTGGACAATTCTGGTGCACCCTCACCTTCAGAAGTTCTGCCTGTGGTAGACGGATGCCGTTGGCATATCTGGTTCTGGAGGTGGGAGAATGCATTTACTCTGATGTTCCTGATTAGCAGAGGGTGGCTTTTTCCTGCTCAGATGGCTGAGGACTGAATGACCTCAGTCATAACTGTTAGTGTTACTGTGACCTTCCTGCTGGGCGAAGCTGCCTGCTGAGGATCTGCCCCCTCTCACAGGCATCCCTTCCTCCTCCCAGGGGAGAGCCTGGCCAGGGTCCCCGGCCCTGTGGGTCTGTACTTGGCACACAGCAGACCCTGGATCACTAGGGTTTAGCGGCAGAAACGTGAGTGGGTGAATGAATGAATGGACTTAGCCTGACTTCACATAACTTTTGGAAATTCTGATTCTTTTCAAACGAATAAGATTTGAAAAGGCTTGTCAGAAGTTACTTACGTATAAATGAAGGTTTAGGGAAGCAGGATTTAAGCTGGCCAGGTGTGGATTCTCAGAAATGTTCATTTTGATTCCACTTCACTCTGGCCAGGGTGGTTTGCGACCTTACCCCCTTAGATATAGAAGGGAGATTTAAAGCAAGAAACCAAATCCTTTTCGTGTTTACTCTTACAGTGGTTCCCTCTTTCCAGCTCCTTGTTTTTATGGCTTTTCCTCCCTCGTGTTTCTCTGTTGGCTTTTATTGTAATGTATGCACTCGGAAAAAATCTTCTGAATGATCCTGGTGTTGGGGCTTTGCCCTCGTTGGGCGTCGTGTACGATCAGGTTGCATTGTACATTGCCGGCGTGATGAGCTCGCACTCCCTAAAAAGGCAATCATTGTGTCCAGAAAAACTCTGCTAGGTTGATGGCTCACTCCCAGGGGCTGAAGTCACTTGGACCAAGGTTTGTAGAACATTCTCCTGTATGGCTTCCCTGTTGGGGCAGGGGGATTGGGCCAGAGGAATTTAGGTGTATTAATACACCCTGCCAGGTGCAGTAACTAGCCGCCCTTGCCTGACCTTAACCTTACCTAAGTGCCATGGTTCTCAAGAGCCCTGGGCCCCCCAGGAGTAACTGAAAGCCTTCGGAGGAGAGCTACGCTTGTGTTCATGGGTTAGAGGCAGGTGGCAGACTGGAGAGTTCAGATGGAAATAAAAATGAGTCAGTGTTGGGGATGTGTTTTGTGAACCGAGAAAGCTTAACTAGAGTGATCTTTAAGAGACTACCTAACCTGTTGTCAGCAATTTTTTTTTTAAACTGACAACAAGATTTTCCCAGTTTTCCCACCAACGTCTCTTTTCTGTTCTAGGATCATCTGGGATGCACATTGCATTTTGTCATCAGGTCACCTTTGACTCCTTCAATCGTTGGCGATTGCTTAGTATTTACTTGTCTTTCCGACCTGGTGCTTTTAAAGAGTAGCTGTTAGGTATCTTGTAGAATTTGGAGTTGTCTGATTAGACTGAGGTCTTGGATTTGGGGGAAGAATCTCACACAGGTGAAGTGCCCTTTCCCTCACATCCTATAGGGACACACGACACCAACGCGGCTTCTCACTGGGGACGCTGACCTCAATCTCTAGGCTGAGGTGGTGTCTGTGGGTTTCTCCTCTATAAAGTTACTGCTTCTCCCTCTCCCTGCCCTGGAAGAAAGTCACTAAGTCCAGCCCACACCCAGGGAAGTGGACTTAGGCTGCCCATCCTGGCAGGAGGAGGATCAGAGGATTGGTGGTCCTAAGGTTAGAACCATCACAGTCATTAGTAAATTTGGAGAAAGATATTCAAAGGCTTTGCAGACATCCTGAGCCACCCTGAAGTATTCATTCACAGATAGGTCATTCTTCTTTTAGTGTGAATATCAAAGGCAGGTTATTCAGTGCAACAGTGAACTTGCAAGCAGGGATTGGGAAGCCCTGGCTGTGTTCCCCCCACTCCTCGCTGCCAAGATGCTGCTGGGCTCTGGGTCTCACAAACACCCGTGAGTGTTCTGCTCACTGCTGGGGACGTGGACTCTGACACCTTCCTACCCCACACCGCTCCCCTCTCGTCCAGCTTGCCATCGCCAGAGCCAGCAGCGACAAGGGAGGTGCCGGGGGCAGCTGCTCCTGCAGGAGCTCTCTCTGTGCCCTGGGGCCTGACATGTATGGAAACAAGATATGCTTGGGAAATAATTCTGTTAACTTTGTTTTCTGGGAGGTGGGGTGGCTAAATACTAGATCATGACTAGAATGAAGGTTTTATGATGGATGCAAAGAATGGCTTCCTTCATCCTCACTCAGTGTCACTCTTTATGAGGTTCTCAGTTACCCCCTTTTAGAAATTACCTTAAACGATGGTGAGCAATGGAATTCCAGAAAGATCAAAGCAATGCAGACCAGACTATGAAAGACAAACCATCTGGATTGCAGAGAATGGTGACCTTTCCCTAGAAAACATCCACACTCAATCTATACAAAGCCCTGCCCACTGGGTTCTTGGGAGCACTGCAAATGGACTTGTCGCTAAACTCCAGCCTGCTTCTCCACTCCTATGAGAAGTTAACTATTTTTCTTTCTTTCTTTTTTTTTTTTTTTTTTTTTTTTTTGAGATGGAGTCTCGCTCTGTCACCAGGCTGGAGTACAGTGGCACGATCTCAGCTCACTGCAACCTCCACCTCAACTTGGGGTTCTCTTATGTTTTTATTTTTGTTTATTGATTTATTTTGAGACAGAGTCCCACTCTGTTTTCCAGGCCGGAGTTTAGTGGCACAATCTCAGCTCACTACAACTTTTGCCTCCCTGGGTCAAGTGATTCTCCTGCCTCAGCCTCCCAAGTAGCTGGGACTACAGGTGCGGCACCATGCCCAGCTAATTTTTGTATTTTTAGTAGAGATGGGGTTTCACCATGTTGGCCAGGATGGTCTCCATCTCCTGACCTCGTGATACACCCACCTTGGCCTCCAAAGTGCTGGGATTACAGGCGTGAGCCAACGTCCCAGCCGTTTTTTTTTTCTTTTCCTTAGCTCTGTTCCTCACCGTGGGGACTCTGGGTAACGACAGACAGCAACAGAGACCGTGGTAGCAGCAGTAAAGGTGTTAATATGCACCATGTGTCTAAGCCCTTTTCATTTTCTTTTTAAAAAAATTTGGGGGCCAGGCTCAGGGGCTCACGCCTGCAATCCCAGCACGTTGGGAGGCCGAGGCGGGCAGATCATGAGGTCAGGAGTTCAAGACCAGCCTGGCCAAAATAGTGAAACCCTGTCTCTACTAAAAATATAAAAAATTAGCCGGGCATGGTGGTGGACGCCTGTAATCCCAACTACTTAGGAGGCTGAGGCAATAGAATCATTTGAACCCAGCAGGCAGAGGCTGCAGTGAACCAAGATCGCACCATTGCACTCCAACCTGGGCAACTGTGTGAGACTCCGTCTCAAAAAAACAAAAGAAAACATTCTGAACATATTTACTTAAAACATAAACATGACACCACATGTTCTCACTCATCGGCGGGTGTTGAACAATGAGAACACATGGACACAGGGAGGGAAGCATCACACACTGGGGTCTGTTTCAGGGAGCTAAGGGAGGGGCAGCGGGGGGTAGGGAGGTTGGGGAGAGATAGCATGGGAAGAAATGCCAGTTATAAGTGACAGGGGGATGGAGGCAGCAAGCCACCCTGCCATGTATATACCTATGCAACAATCCTGCATGATCTGCACATGTACCCCAGAACCTAAAGTACCATTAAAAAAAAAATAAATAAATAAGCATGAAATATTCTGATTAGTTTACAGGAGCAATTATTGTTACTAGGGAAGATTGAAATTTACTGTTTTCTTCTTTCTTTCTTTTTATTTAATGTATATGTTATATTTTGTTTCTTCAACTTTAAGTTCAGGCGTACATGTGCAGGACATGCAGGTTTGTTATGTAGGTAAACGTGTACCATGGTGGTTTGCTGTGCAGATCATCCTGTCACCTGGGTATTAAGCCCAGCAAGCACGAGCTATTCTTCCTGATGCTCTCTCTCCCCATCCCGCCCGTGGGCCCCACTGCGTACATGTGAGAACATGCGGTGTTTGGTTTTCCTTTTCTGCATTAGTTTGCTGAGGATAATGGAAGCCTTTTCCTTAACTCATTAAATGGGTAAATGTTTGAAGCCCTAGCCCCCAGTGTAGCTGTATCTGGAGGTGGGGTCTCTAAGAAAGTAATTAAGGTTAAATGAGGCCATAAGGGGGGTACCCTGATCCAACAGAATTATTGTCCTTGTAAGAAGAGACGCCAGAGAGCTCACATGTCTGTACGCACACAAAGTGTGGGCAGCATGTGCACGCAGCAAGAAGGTGGCGTCTGCAAGCCAGAAGTTTGCTGGCACTTTGGTCTAGCATGTCCCAGTCTGCAAGGCTCCGAGAAGATCCGTTTCTGTTGCTGAAGCCACCCAGCCTGCGGTGTTTCGTTTCAGCAGCCTGAGCAGCCTCAGACAGGCAGATACCATTATTCCCATATGAAAACGGAAGAGACTGAAGCATAGAAAGGGGTTGCTTGCCGTATTGTTCTGTTGATTTCTCTTTCTGAGAGTTTTGCTTTCTACATTTGCTGTAACATTCAGTTCATAAAGGCTCCTAACCACGATGGCTTGTTGTAAACTTCCCCACTTAATAGCATCCTCTGCTTCCCTTTTCCTCATCGGACGCTTTTCACTTTGAATATTCCTTTCCCTAATGTTAGCATCTGAGACCCTTTGCGTTGGTCAGGATAGGCCGAGTCTGATGCTCTAAGA